CACCCTTGACGAACCCATGCAAGGAGTGTGGAGGGCTGAAGTTCGGTAGGCCATAAAAAAGCAATTGCCCAATGGACTTCATGTTGGACCCATAAGTTGCGACTACATCCAGAATGCACTCCCTGAATCTTCTCGGATCGAAAGTGGACAATGGCCCATGGATGGCAAATTTCCTCTACAAACAGGTGATTTTCCTGTCAGGAAGTGCAAAAGTATATATAGTTTATCAGAGTTCTCTGCCAAATGGTTGCAACTCCATTTTCCAACACCAGCAGAAAACAGCTCCAAAGCTTCCAGCCATGTTTGGAACATTATTTTGTTCTACCTGAGTCTTATATAACATTTGTCAATTCTACCCAACCGCCTCTATGACTTCTCCCGGAACGTACTTCACGTACTTCCGTCCAAAGTTAGCAAAGTTGTTGCAAAACAATTGAATCAGGACACGCTCTTGGATGAATGTCATCAGAGGGATCCCCTTTCATCGCTTGCTTGTAGCATATTTAATAGTGTTGGCAACATATTTCATCAGAAGGGGTAGAGCTCGTTATGTCTCCATCACGTTCATTTTGTATCCAATGATCACCGCTTGCCCTTTGCAAGCGAAGGCGTAGTGGTAAGGCTAGCGCAGTGGGACTTTGTCTCAGGCTATCATTCCGGAATTCCCAAGTGGATCCAAGTGGATCCGAACCTACAACGCCTCGTCCAACAAACATCGGCAAACAAACGTTCCTGCTGGGGGGGGCCTTATGGGATCTTAATCTTATCACGAATCATATCTAAAAAACTTAATCTTATCACGGTCCATCAAGCCATGATGGAAGACTCTTAAATCAAACAAGTCGCTTTTTCAATCCTTTTCAATTCCCACTCCTGGCACTGATTTTCAGCTTCACCAACTCGAGACGTGCCCCACTTTGCCTCGCAGGCGCGTGCTGAACGCAGAACGCAGCTGAACGCAGAACCTCCATGCCTGGTTAAAACATTTCCCGCGCCAAGAGAACAATCAATTTGGTAGAAGAAACACTTGAATTTAGTAAGGAACCGGAAGCAAAACGAAAAAAACATACCCCCGGAAGTGGGTTTACCCATTCATATGGAACCTAAGCAAAACAACAAAAAACTGTTCGTGCAGAAATCGATCTGACTTTCTCCACTTCCACCACTGGACACACCAGCGGCAACCAGCCTGAGCTATTGGAACTTTCTGGACATTTTTCACGATGGGTTTCCAGTCCTTGTGTTTCTCCGGGTGCCACCCAAGTGGAGACCCGAACACACGCAGCTCGCCCGGTCGTTCCCGGTCATTTCCCAACAATTCCAGTGCTCGTCCGGTTCCAGAGTGGTCCTTCGGACCTCAGACGTGTTCACCAAATCGGTCCATGACATGGTGATCCCCAGGTCCCCGCTCTCCGACGATCACTTCTTCCAGCTGCAGCTACCGGTGGATCCCATACGACCCCCGTGTTCGCCCAAGATGCAGCATCACACGATCCGCTGAGAGCTCCATGGAAGCACAGGACTTCCTGAGTACCGGAAGATCTGTGAGCTTCTTGGGAGGACGCTTTATCAGTCCAGACCGTCGGGTTGGTCGCGACCTGAGGCGCCCGGAACCTATGGCCCCCACAGTGGTGGAGTCGGTCAACCGAGCCGTGAAGAATACGACTGACTGCATCGAGTCCAGGTCGGGGCCATTCACAGCAGAGACAGGGGGACAAATAGGGTAGGCCCTACATGTTTCCTAATTTGACGATACTTATTTTTACCATTTTGATCACACCCGGTGGAAGCTTAACTCCCTCAACACAGGGGTAGGGGTGAAGAATCATGAAACATCCTAACATCGAGTTATACCTGGCGGGGTTTGATCGACGAACAGGCGGAAATTCTGCACCCGCCCACTGTGTTCCAAGGGAAACGTCACTGGAGAAAAGCACGTTGCCCCGCAACGACCACTTGGGACATCGAAGAAGGTTGGACTTGGAACATTCGCCCGCAACGCCCAAGACGTGAATTTGAAGGACCCCCCATGTTGGTCGATCTACCGTATTTTGTGTTCGCTGTGAGTCCCAAGACCCGGCCCTGGTTGACCTCTGATGTTTTCAAAACCAAACCCATAAACGAAGGTCAACCTTCCCATGGTTGACCTTTCGGCCCGTGATGGCCGGTGGAGGAACGGCTTCCCGGCAAGTTGCGAGGGCTGGAAATTCTCCTCGGACGTTTGCGCGGGTTCTGAAGAGTCGGAAGGAACGGCACGTCTCGTGACGACATCGGTGAACGGCCCAGCACGACAGCATAGGAAAAGAAGTCGAAGAACAAAGTGAGTCAACAAAAGAAGGTCAACTCGATGTGATGTGCGGAAAAGCCCCCTGATGCTTTATGTTCAACTTATTTCAACCATATATGTCATATATGCAACATGTGTTCTATATATATTACTCAGCTCTAGGGCAAGAAGGACTTTACTGCATAGTTGTTGGGATCAAAAATGCTGAGGCAGGGGTGAGAGTTGCTGTAGGGAACCCGCCTTCAAGCCGGAGTCATACATCCCCATCCTTCGCTCTGACTCGCTGCAGATGAAAGGGGCTGCCATTACCCCTTCCTTCGGTCTAGGGTGCTCGTTCCACCCATCGGCTGATGAGGCGGCAAATCGACACATTTCAGAGTTTCTTGGGGTGGGTCGAGCACTCTCTCCCTTCCTTTCTTCTCCCAAGGCCAAATTCTGAGGTTGAGAACAATCTTTTCTGCTCTTCTTGGCCCGGAGGTTCATCCTTTTCGTCCACAGGTCTCACATCAAACCGCCTCCCTCGACCTGAACCGAATCCAGGTGACGGGCAGGATGAGATCCTTGCCCCAGTCAAGGCTACAGGTCTCAGGTGCCAGGATGCAGGTGTCATTGTCATGTCCCAAGACCTGGGCAGGAGAAGCTTCAGATATCTTCAGATATCTGAATGTTCTTGTGACTGGGGCATCTCATTCGCGTAATTGGACATGTTCATACATTTTCCTCATATGCCGAAAAGGATAGTGCTTCGCAAATCAGAACTGAGGAAAGAAAGAATGTGCTGTGGCACCGGTTTGCCAGGTGCCCAAGAATGCTCAAAAGCTTATATATATATATATAATGCTTTGATGCAGCAGGCTTAAACCGGCGGTTGGCTTGATACAAGCGCTACCAGGTCTGAGATTCCCGGGACCAGACCTGATTCTGATGGGGAGGCTTCATTAGCTTCCGTCCCAAAACATCCACCAAAGCCAACAGAAGCCACCCAAGAGGTGCCTGAAGAACGGAAATGTGAAGAACAATCCTGTGGAATCGTGGAATAAAATCAATTGCTTGGATTGTATCCCCGTTTCGCATCAAGTCGGTGACTTCGGTCCAGCTGGAGAGCCACCGCTTTTAAACGCGGCAATCTCGGACGGTGATCTTTGGGTTCTTGCTGAAAGGCAGTCTTACGTGCCAGTCTGTCCCACCAAGCGACCTTAAACTAACCCTGAAGCGGCGCTGAATGCCCGAGAAGCAGGAAATTCCTTGTCGGGTCACCTAAAACAATTTTAAAGCAACAATTCCCACGGTATAGTTTCATCATGTTTCATCTGAATCTATGAGCCAGTGGGTTGAACAGATTCAAACAATACAAGGGCAACCGTCTTTCAAACCACGTCAGTGAGTGATGAGAGCATTTCTAGCTTGGTGCACCAGGTGCAAAACCACCCATCACCGCAAGCCCCCCTTCTCACAGTCACCTGCGCGCAGGGGTCGGCCACACCGCACAAAACGAGGGCGCTGAGTAGCAGCCACCAAGCCATGACATCAGCACGAGGAATCCAATTGCTCCCCCCCCCGCCCGAAAACGCCGGGGAGTGGCATTTGTTGTAGTGTGCGAAACAGCGGTTGTCCTGAATGCAGTGCTTACCCCCAGAAAACTGCCAGATCCCTTCTGAACCATGAAATTGACCTCTCCAACTGGATTCATGTTGACTTGCCCTCCAAAAAGGGCCGCGCTACAGGGCAATGTGTTGTCACGAACGTTGTGTTGAAGAACAATGAACAACAAAGAGGACATGCAATTCTTTGGAGGAAGGTTGGGAGTCGGCCAAAGCATACGTCACATTGCTGTTCAAGCGCTCACCTCACTTCTCTCGGTTTTCATCGCTTCTGTTGCGCGCAGTTCGTTCTGGCAGGGGGATGCGGGTGGCAAGTCTTATATCAGAACCATGAACCATGCATGTCCGGCATGCGGATAACTGACCGCTCGCAAGATGAAACCATCTGAAACCTGTGGGGGGCCTCTGCGGCCTCTGTCTGGAGAAATGGCACGTGTTGTTGCTCGCTACCAAGGTCGATCGTTTACAGCCCGATCGAAGCGTTGAACGGGTCGGAGAAAATACCCCGATGGATCTCTGCTGAAGCCCAGGGGTTTCATCCCCTACCCTTTTCGGTTCCGCTCCAACCCGGTTTAACAAATTGAAGCCGCGGTGTGACCCTTGAACGGCTTTCCAAATTCGCGGGTCATTCGCTTACGTTTGCATACGTTTGCCTTTTATGTCCTTCCAGCTAAACCTGGTCCTTGAGCTCATTGAGTACTGGTTTTGCACGACTGGACCTAGTCCAATGAGGTCCTTGACCTGTAGGGTTTTATCAAGATAGGGTGCCTCACTTCGAACTTCCGCCATAGAAGCTCATTCCATCCCCCACTGCTGGCCAAACCTCCATTCGGTGCCCATTTCGGTGCCCATTTCCCCGACCTCTCGAGGGATCAGAAGACCGGTGGCTGCATCGTTGGGAGCTAAGATTAAAATGGAGACAAAGGCGCACGGTGGTCTTGTAGTCCTATAGGATGTCCTAATGTAGACGTTTGATACATAAACCCACCCCATTTGGATTGAAAAACCTCGTTGTGTGGGAGGTCTATGAATCACGGTCTACATTAGGGTTGGGGTTGCTCCACGCCCTTGCCGCCCACCTCCCCCAACGCCCGGATCCAGCCATGTCCAGCCTGCTAGGCTCACCGCACGCTTCAAGGCACCCGCGGCGCGCCCGAAGCGCCAAGCGATCCTCGCTCGCGGAGCCGCTCACGGACGAGACCGGGTGGTGTGCCGCGTGGTGTGCCGCGTAGTGTGCCGCGTGGTGTGCCGCGCTGCGCCGAGCTGCAGGGAGAGGGCCGTGTCTAAGCCTTGTAAGTCCATCTCTCCACCGGGCAACACCACCTGGCGACGAAGCATGGAAGCGTGATGTGGGGTCTGAGGAAGTGGCCTAATGTCGACTCTTTGATTTAATAAGCCCCTCAATCGAATTGGACATCCTGTTCATCAAGAGTCTACATTAGTTGCCTTTGGATGGCTCTAAAATTTTTCAGTCATCGGGATGGTGTTCATGTCCAGTTCATGCCCAGTTTGACCAAACAGCGCGGAGTTTCCAGTGTCACCTGTATGGCCTGACAGTGTACAACCAAGCTCTAGCTTGAAACAAAAAAGCCGTGGTAATTCAGGTGGTATGCCTTTAGAGGCGACTCTGAGCCTGCAAAAAATTGATGGTTTTCTGTTCCCTTTTTGATGGGTTCCCTAACTTCGGGGATTCGGATATGGGATGTTCTGGGCTAATGCTTCCTGCCATGACGCCATCACAAACGAGGGAGGTTCCTCCAAAAAAAAAGGATGTTCAACAAGGACCACTGGCGCATGAGAATAGGATGCATTTCGCGCGCCCATGGTAACTGTCAAAAGAACGTGACCTGGATGCTGTGACATTCTATGACCATTCAAGTTCCGCCACATCACTAGGTCTAACTCTACAAACGGAGGGTGTGTGTGGAATATACCGTTTTCTATCACATGCAGCTACAGCAGGTGGTGACAGGTGCCTAATGGTGTCTACAAGTTTTATCGAACCGGGGGTGAACATAAGGAAGAAGGTATCAATACTCTTTTAGGGGGTACCCCCTAATATACATTTATGATCATTTATGTGACCCAGCGATACTGCCACCAAACCACTTGCTGGGGGAACCCACCAGAAGTGAGAACCCCAAACCCGCTCCTTCACCCTCCCAATCCTCACCCTGCCCCCCTTCGCCGCCGATCGCCGCCGCTGGCCGCATCCAGGGGGGCGGATTTCACCCCATCCACCGTGGGGTGCTGCGTTGCTCGGCGCCGGCCTCCCAGAAGATCTCTTCGGCCTCGTTGGCACCGAAGGTGTCGCTGAACCTGGAGCCCGCGCGGGAGAAAAAGAGGTTCAAAGCATCGTCAGCATTTACCCCTTCTTCACCACCCCAATGGACAGCCTAGATGAATATGGTCAGCGCTTTGTAGGCCAGTGCAAATATAAGGCGACATAGCATGAAAATGAAAAAAGATAGTATTGATATGAGGCGCGGTTTTCGTGACAAGAAACACCGCGCAATTGACATGCATACACCATGCATGCATGGTGTCCACAACTGCGCAGGTGGCAGGAGGGCTGCCTCAGAGGGAATGTGGATGACAATCCACCCAGAAAGGCCTTTCAAATGTGGATCTTCTGGCATCGCTGCCAGGAATAACAACATAACGAATGCGATACCAAAGTGGTATGCACATACTATATATTATAGTATATTTTATATATTGAATATTATATAATATAACACATATATATATTTCAAATTATATATATGTGTACATGTATATATACCTATGTATATCTATATATATATATGTGTGTGTTGCCATGGAAAACCATTGAAAACCACCCAGTCAAAGAGTCCACTATAAACGAAAACATGCCTCAATGCGCACATTCCACACCGTTCCCTTCCAGTGGCCGAAAGCAGCGCTGGCAGAGCTTGACAAATCCTCGGAACGGATTCGAAGGGTGGCCCGGTTTAAGGATCTCTTCCGCGATCTCAATCTCAGGATTGTAACTTCTCAATCTCAGCTTGAGGGAAAAAAAGAAGGGGGCGTGTCACAAGCATACTGGTTCCATGAGAGTAAAGTCCGCCATCAAAAAGATCAAGCAAACAAGTCCCGTGTGGAAGACCGGCCAACAACAATGCTTTGTGTGTGTATATGTGTATAATGTAGGCTCTTAGCGCCATGATGTTCTCCAAGAAAGTAACGTCTGACAGGAAGAGTTTAAAGGGATTTTCCCTCTTGGTGCATTCTGATCATGCCTCTGAGGAGTTGCCCGCATGCTGTGTCGCACCGAAACAGTGTTGTGAACTTGGTTTTGCTGCGAGGCGCGGCTTGATCTCTACTTTTGTATGTCTCGATGAGCATGGTTTTAGGGACAGCTCGTCCATGAACCTAACCCACTGAACCTCGTCGCCATTTACATGTCCACGTTCCACACCCTTCCCCAACATCGCAAGCCATAGCAAGTGACTTCTAAGGGTGTGGAAAATGATAACTTCCTCTTTCCAGGCATGGGCAATTTTTGGTCACTGGAGGTGCGCCTCTCCAACCCACGTGGCATCCTCCTCCCCCAGCTCTTTTGGCACCTCCAACGCTGAGCCCTTCCTTCGCATTCGGGGCCTTGAAGGCCTCACGGGGGCCTTGAAGGCCTAACGAGGGTGGATGCCCTTCACAGCTGTAGTTTGGTCATGTTTGGTTTTATGGTGTTAATCTTTTGGAACCACTGACCTGCGGTGGTAACTGAGTCGAATGAGGATGTGTTTGGGAAAGTCTCAGGCCGCTTGGCCGAGCAAAGTCCACAGAAAAAAACACATTCAAAACATCACCAGGGACTTCTGGACCGCCAAGGGCCAAGGGCCAAGCTGAAAAACAATTGTTCACATCTAATTCCGCAAAGCTAAGATTTCTGCAAGCCGCCACTGACATGCTGGCTGTGAGAATGTTTGTTGACTGCTCGGTTGCCCAAGCTGCTGCAATAGCGACACACAGGAACCAACGCTACCAAGTGGAAATGTTCCAAGAATTCTTCCAACTACACCTATGGCATCTACAGATTGGAGCAACACTTTGCCAGCCCCATGTGCATTCGCAAATTGTGAGGTGGAACCTACAAATCAGCACCAAAAACGAACGCACGCTGAGACAATCAACTTCCTACCTCCGGTCAGAACCCATAAAGTCTGCTGTATATCCCACCCGGTCACGCCAACCTGAAGGTCCCAAGAAGTCGTCACAAAGGGGGAAGTCGAGGGACCACAGAAGTCTACCCAAAAGCCATGTGGCGCATGTGGCCTCTTTCGCGGACACATCAAGACCTCTCAAGGGGCATGCGGATCCAGGTGGAACTGTCATGTGGCCAACTTCCGACTTGGAGTGCCAAAAATCACCCGCGCTGGCACCATGCCGATCAGGCCAGGGGGCGGTTTCTGGGATCAAGGCAGGCATGTGTTCCAGTCCCATGGATGCCCATGGGCCCATATAGGCCCAAGGAAACCCAAGCAGGCCCAAGGAAACCTAAGGAAATGCATGGAGGCCATGGATCTGTCTAGTTGCATCACCGGAAAAAGTTTAAAAAAAAAAGAAAGCCGCCTCGAAGGCTTCTGCAAAGCGTTGTCGCTCGGCACGGCGCAAGGCTGGAGGACTGTGTGCCTGGAGGCAGGAACGATTTACATCTTTCCTCACTGCCCTTCGGAGATGACCAAAACAAATTATGTTCCAAAACCACTGGGTTGATTGGATTAACGTTTGGTGGGTCAATCCAAACATGTCAACGTCTTTGGGTGGGTGAATTATCAGATCAAACCAATTTAGACTACAGGCTGAATAGAACTGTTTTTTGGGCACGCACACGCACGCACTACATGTAAAATTATGCAATGCAAACCATGATGCCAATCGCTTAAGCCAAAATATGAACTCGTCTTGGGGAACAGGTTTTTGGGTGCTCACGGGGCTTTCTCTGACAACTGCACGCGGCTAGCGCCTGGCTTAATCCATCCAAGCCAGCTGTTGGTTGGATTTCCACTTCCTGTCGGCACCTGTGCCACTTCCAGACCTCCAACTGGCACACATCACAGCACACCACACCCCCATATGACCCCATACGGCATACATGTTCACAAACACTGTGACCGTCAATTGTGAACGATTCCCTCCTCTCCTCACCTCGGGAGCCATCGCCTTCACAATGGCGACGGCGGCCTTGGCAGCCATGGCCGCCACTCATAAGTGATGGATCTCACGGATTTTTTTGAACCTTAGCCCTCCTTAGGTCCCCTGCCAGGAGTTGAGCCTTAACCTTCCGTGCTTTTGGAAACACAATTGTTACAAGAGCACAGGGGGAGGGGCTGAGGTTCCATTTCCGTGGCGGACTAAGGGTCTGAATCCTGATCATGGTGTTTATCTCCCAGCCACTTCCAGCACAAATGGCAGCCCGCCCGAAACGCACTGCAGTGAAAAACATGAATCGGGAAAAACATAAAAGTCTATTACACCGCAGGTGCATTATCCAGCTCCAAGGGGTGGACCCCCTGGGGGTGGGACCCTTGAGCAAAGGCCTATGGTGCCACTAGTAAGGCCTTACTAGGTACTCTATACTTAGCACCCACTCAATAACCACTCGCAGCCGCAGTAGCAACCTGGGGAAGCCTTACTAAGCAAGTACACTTTCTAGAGGAAGCTGGTAAGGCCCTACTAAGCTCTTACTAAATCTGTTGTGAAAACATCAACAAATCACAAAAAACAAGCCAACTTCGCACTAAGCAATTCTCAGGGGGGGTACCACCCCTGGGGGTCCACCCCCTATAGCTGCATGAGTGCAGCCACACACACAAACACACAGACATGCATTGCAAGCCTAAAATCTACAACTACGTGTGACTTGTGCAACATTCCCTTCCACCCATGGCTCCACCACATTGTGCTTGGTCTGACCCACACCTCCTATCCGCTGAGGGGGTCGGTCCTTGTGACGCTCCATCCGAGGCCTTCGCACCTGAAGCAAGCAAACGGTTTTTTTCCCCTTCGTGTCTTGAAAGCGGATCGATTCATGGCGTCGTCTCAAGGAGAAGACATGGATCATGACATCTAACAGAAATCAAGAAGACGAAACGGGTCCACGATGGTCCACTTTCGAGATTTTTTAGTGGAACCCGTCAATTTGAAGAACACATGCCAATCGACCGGTCGATTCATGGTGTCTTGAATAAGTTGTCGATGGGTCTATGGGCCGGGATGTCTGGCGATGTTTTCTTGGGGAAACCCTGTGAATGCCCGCAAGGCGTTCCAAGAAAACATTAGGCCAAGGAAACTGTTCTACAACAAGTAACTAGGTCCCCAATGGTCGTTTCATGTTACTTCGTTCTGCTTCAGGGCACGGTCGAACCCGCAAGTTGCAATCGCGCTGGAAGTTGTAGCCTGTGTTCACTTGGGGGACGTGTTTTTTCCTGTCCTAGCGTTTCCTCGCGCAGCGGTAGAAACCCAAACCCGGGGTCTGATTGAGCTAGGTAATTTACATGATATACCTGCAACCCGGAAAAGAACAGCCCCAGCCGAACCAATCGAAACTAATTCGCCGTAGCCGGACAACACACCAAAGAGAACATACCTGTGATAACATTTGATCATCGCCACTGCCACTGCCTGATCTTGCCAAAGCTCCAGATGCACCATGCTACCGTTCTGGGAAGTTAACGTTTCTGACTTGTTAGGTATCTCACACGGAATGCATGCTCTTCATCGCCTGTCTGTATGGCTGAGAAACGGCAATGGAGGGAGGCGGCCGACATGTCATCATGCAAAAATCCGCCCCCCAAAAAAAGAACACAAAAGAAAGGAACGCAAAACAACACCGAATCTGAGGATTAGCTGGCGTACATCTCGCAACAAATGTCCAACAATTTGCAGTGGCGAGGTTTGTTCTTTCTTGCTGGGCGATGAAGGCAATGAATGGCCCTAGGCTAGAAAAAGTACTTCCCACCAATCTCGGCCGCTCCACTTGCCAACGGCCAAGTCCGACCTGCGCATGCCGCAGAACTGATTGGAAAAAAGTTTGGAATTCCCATCCCTCACAACAATATGGGAAATCCTCGTCCATCCTCGTGCATGTCATGCGCGAAATGGGCCGGAACATGCCACAAACCTTTTCTTAGAAGCAACGTGTTGATTTTACGAACCTTTTTGGGTGGTCCCATTGGGGTATGGAGATGCGCGTCCACCCCGCGTTCGGACATGACGAACCCATCTGGGAAGCAAACAGCTCCTGAGTGCCCGCGCTTGGGGCATCAAAACCCAACCCAACCACAGCCATTTCATGCGAACGTGCTGCGCATCGTACACACCATGATTCTAGAAACGGCAATCACGTTTTTGGACTCTCATGTCTTGTTTGTCACCTCCGGCCAGTCCGTTTTGCTCCGTTTTGCCCAGGGTTCGAACCATTTTTGGAGATTCATTTAGGTCCTTGCCGTTCAGAATTGCAAAACACAGAGTGCCGAAAAACATTATTTCTGCGGTTTTTTGTCCTTGTCTTTCATGCGCTGTCAACGTATGTATGACACTATATGATCGTATATGACTATATCCTATCATATGATTCAGCAAATGCGGCAGTTTCTTTCCACATCTTTCCACCATGTGGCGCCGTGCCCAGTTGAGCCAAAAATGGCGGACTCATGCTGGTGCGTCGGGTCATTGTTTCCAAAACACCCGGGCCCCCACGGTCAGAAACACGAGGACATGCGGTCGAAGAGCTCGCAGCTGGCACAATGGGCTTTGACAGCGGTAGCATCACAAATGCCCCTACAAGGTAAAGTGGCCCCGGACGAACTTGCTCAAAGTTCAGCGACGGACGCCTCGACGCTGCCTTCTTGCAATCCGCCGGGCCATGCTTTGCTATGACGTAAGGACGCAAGTTCGACTGCGTTCCTGGAAGTCGGTTTCCAAGTGTTGGTGATCCCTGGTGAAACACGCAGACATGGGGCCACAAACAATTTTTCTTCTCGGAAGCAACTGCGACGAGCGAGAGGTGAGACGGCGGGGAACTATGTACAGGGGAGCACTCGTGCGTCCTGCGTGAAGTCCGCGAGGACGGCGGGGGAGGGCGGCGCGCCGCCCCCTTGCTCCGGAAGTTCCAGCAGCGTAGTGGCCAGGCTGCCCTGCGCTGCGACGGAGAAGAGGCTCGCCCAGCGATGGCGCGGGGCGGCACGAGGGCCAGGTCGCTCCCACGGAGGGGCCGCGACCGGCCGAGAGGACCCGCAGGAGAAGTGCTCACAGTCGTCGCCCCGCCGGCCGCCGGTCTCGAGGGCGAGGACGGCGAGCCGGGCGCGGGGAGCCTGAGCAAACTCGAGATCGCGGCGCTTGCGCGCGGCGGCGTCGGCTGCGGCGGCCCCAGGTTCGGCGGCGCAGCGCGCGCGGGCCGCGCCATCCCTGGCGACCGAGGATACCAGGGTCACGTCGGCGGCGACCTGCACGCCCTGATGCCCTGGGAGGCCGTTAGCGACGACCGCAGGGCGGCGCCCGTCTGTGAGGGGTGTGCCCACGTTCAGGTCCCGGAGGACAACATTGGTCGCGATTAGTTTGCGCACTTGTTTGCGATGTTGTGCAAGTTTGAAGTCTGGGAATCTGTTTCTAATCTTTGTCCGTGGTGCGCTAAGTCCTGCGTTTTGCCTTCTCTGCACGTTTTATCTCCCCACGACTAACGGCTACGCCCATGGAACACCAATGCTTTCAGGGCAGGGGCCTCTTGAAACCCATCGCCTTGCGAAAACATATTCACCAAGTTGTTTGATGCGTTGGGCGTGGGCGAAGTCTTGGGCGAGATGAAATTTTGCTGAAACCCACTAGCATGGTTGGGGCAGGTCACAACACACCTTTTTACCTCTTTCACAAAGGGTTGGTGGCTGGAAAGCGAAACAATCGCAACCTGGATGAGACTACGTGCATTTCGTTTATCCGGTTTGCTGGTCTCTTGTTGACTCCGCATGTGGCACCCCAGATGAGTTGCGACGGAACAATTGGAAACAAGTTGAAACCGTAGCTCTTCCATAGCGTGCGCCCATTTGCAGTGTGCAGGCATCAAAAACCAACTCAAAAACCATCAAAAGCAGTGTGCCATGCAAATCTGGGATCCATAGGCTGGTGAAGTATGGGGTAGTATGTTTTTCATTGTTGTTCATCGCTTTTGGTTTGCACTGCTTTGATGGCACACATTTTCGCAACTGTTGTGGGAACCGCCAAGGTTTCGGCCACGCGCTCCTTCAGCGAGGCTTGGCAAATGGAGGCACCACTGGTTGTTGGGCCAATCGTCTTGCTGCGTGCGGCTGCTACCCTCTCAGCTGCTTTGAGGCCATACAGAGATTTCGTTTACACACGCTAGCACCAAGTGGTGTTACATGGCACGGCGTTTGTACAAAAATGATTGAAGATAGAGGTTAAGCACGTTCATTCGGGGAAGAAACTCAATGCATTATAGTAGGCCTTCCCGTTTCGGCGTTGTACCGGGCATACAAGTCTCATTCACTCACTGATGCTCACAGACACAAAACAATTTCACGACATAACAATTGAGCATGCTCAATCAATCCGTTTGCCTTTAGTTTTGGTGCGGATTCATAACTGCAAAGGACCCCACGAAGCCTGTTCGTTATATTGCGCTACATCGACACGACATATTTCAACCAACAACGTGCAGACATTGAATGAATGTCCGGTTGTTTGTTCGTCTTGTGTGGTTTTTGGACCTCGACAACCCTGGTGTTTCATCATGTCAGTTTTCATTTCATGCCTGGGCGCCATCCGGCGGGCGCCTCTAGGGCACAGGCTGGTGGAAAAAACCCTCACACCGCACTGAGGTTTCATTGCCGGTGCTAAGCAAAATTGACATGTCTGTTCAACATATACTGTCATATAACATATTATATGTTGTCCTCTAACCTGGTGATGTGTGCTTATCAAGTCTTATCTACACCAACCACCTTTGCAATCCGCGACCCAGTTTGGCGCCAACACCTTCTCATGTAGGAAACACATGCCAGTCACAGCCAGAAATGATGCCAACGAGAATGCCAGGCACAAAGAATGGCGGAAGGTGTGCGGGATAGAATGTTGCCAAAACTGCGATAATTATGAACGAAAACATTGCAAAAAGGATGCGTAAAAATCTCCCTGGTGGAGTGGCGAAATACAGAGTGAATACCAAAACGGACGCCACAAAAGTAAAATTAAAAAAACCCGCAAAATCAAAGACATGATTTCGGAAAACGACGGCACTCATGCCAAAAGGGTGCCAAAACTTAAGCTACGAGCGCTTGACCTTTCGCATAGGAAATCCTCCCACTGCGGGGCACACCGACGAAAAGAAGTCAACCCACAAGAACAGGAAATCACCCCTCAATGTTGCATCCCAACGGCACACCGTCACCCACAAATCTGTCAACATGCACTTCTTAAGCATGTTTGTGTGGTGAGCCGCCGCGCGTGAACTTGCAAAAGGCAATCTAAATGCCGGCTTCAATGTGTGTTTCCGCAAAGCACGCCGAAGATACAGCACGCACGTCTTATGCGGGAGCGTGTTTGCAAGTTAGTTTGTGCATAGTGGGGTGGGAACGCCCCACATTTGGATTCACAGGGCGCTTCCGCATAGCACAGCGAAGATGCAGCACGCACGTCTCATGCTGGTGTGCCGGACAAGAAGCCAACTGTTAGTTTGCGCGTGCTGGGCGCAATTGTGGACGCGTGGCCCACCAACATCTGTCAACTACAGTGTCTACTGTGTTCAACCGGCCCCGCATCGCACACTGAAACACGCGAACTTCATGTGGCTGTAAACCTCCACCTTGGCTTGCATTGGGCCTACAGGTGGTTATGTGGCTTTGGGCCAAACAGGCCGTCCAAGATTCGTTTCTATACGAGATTCAGACTGCAGTGCTCCCGGAGATTTGGAGAGGTGTGCTTGCTCGCCTCCTCTCATTGAATTTGTGGTGCTTGAATAATTTGGCAATTACACGCTGGCGGTGTGCGCCTCCACAATTGATCCAATCGTATGGTGCGCCACTGCGGTTGCGTTTAGATGCTCTCTGTGCATTGCACTCCTAAATAAGCATGCCATGCCACTGCGGTAAGCATAAAGACCTTGCAGTAAACCATTGATTCATAACATACATGGTCCTGTCCCAGTGCGATTAGACTTTTGTGCTGAAGATGAAGCGCACACGCATTTTACTATGCATGTGCCTGGAGCATGCCATTCCGCAAAGCACACTGGCCGTGGCGCGACTTCACCCGACACGGCACTAAAAAAGTCAAGGACCCATCTGACATTCGTGGCTCTGAACTGCCACTCTCTATGGTTTGCTGGCCCGAGGAGGAGCGGTTTGGAAAGACCCCGTAAAACATAGCAGCTAATCCTTCATCACTCAGAAGGCCTGCCAACAAGGCAGAAACGGTGAATCAATAACAGTGGAGCGACTACTGGAGCGATATGCATAAAGTAAGCAAAGCCACGACAAACAAAAACCGGTATGTGCCGGTATGTGTTGGCACTAAACGCATGACCGAACAAACGCTTTCAAATTCATTGACCGGTGAATTCCGGCGCTTCTTGCCAAATTTCGAGACCCCCTCGGGAGGGACCTACAGCCGGGCGACTGAACCACGAAATGCATGAGGTTCTTTTCTGTAGGGTGCCACAGATGCTTTCTAGATGATGGTTTCGCGAACCGCATTTGCATAGGTCTGAACAA